AAAAAATTTCATTTTTTTTGTTTTGAGAAACTAACAAAAAGAACGCATTTTCAACAATTTCAAAACAAACACTCAAAACACAAAACTCAAAATGAATTTAAAACTCAAAACACAAAACTGAAACACAAAGAGAACACCCCGTTAGCCACTTTGTCAGAACTAATTGTCCACCTATTTGACGATGGTAACAGTAGATAATTGGATGCAAAAAGTGGTAACATAGGATGATTGTATGTAAAAGTTGACTTTTTTTAAACAATCCAACGATGTCACGCTCTGTCAAGAAAGATGTCAATTTTTGTGGCAATATAGCATGATTGTCAAAATCAAAAACAAAATTAACTTTAAAAAAGAACAAAAATGCTGTTGCACGACACTTTTTTAACATCAATTTTCATACTTTCTCACAAAGGTGGGGTCCATGATTATTTTAAGAATCATGCTACAAATACATTGATTTTGACATTAAGCTTTACATTGTGCCACGTAGCGATATTATATTAGACATTTTTTGAAAAAAACACACTTTTTCGCCAATTCCATTTTTGAAAACATTTGAAAACAATGGAGTGTCAAACTCTATGTCAAGCAAACAATGTACAAAAAGCCTTATTCTTATTTTAATCGTGGACCCCACCCACTTGCATGGGTATGATGCTGTGAAAAAAGGTGTGAAAAATGATGTACTTGTAGAATGGTTGAAAAAAGAATACATTGTTTATGCAACTGGACAAAATGTATTTTTTATTATTTTATATATATATATATATTTATTTATTTATTTATTTTTTTTTTTTGTTGAGATCACCATAAATGGAAACTAGACATTTGGACCAACAATTAATTAGCTTCATTAATGGCCTCTCTCGTTTCTTCATCTAATTGGTGAAATTGTGTTGTCCTATTTTGACTTTGTGGTTCATTTTTCACGATAAATACATACGTGCTTCTAAAAAAATAAGTGTTACTGTCAAAGTTTTATAGAATCGTCTTCCCTTATTTGAACTTTGGGGCTAGTTATTGAAAAATGTTTGCTGCATATCAGGTTTTAAATAATCTTAAATGTCTGGCAAGAAATTATTTTTATTTTTTTATTTTTTTTTATTTTAACAAGGAAAGTTTGGGAATGCTTTGCCTCTGAATCTGATTGTCTAAAAATTTCAGTTGAATAAATTGGAGAAGTCCATTATGCAAATCGGCTTAGGCTAAGAATTGGACCAGTGTACTATATAAATGGGCTAGACTATCCACTAAAAGGATACTAATTGAACTCAAATGGATCCATCCACTTGGGTCGAACTAAAGTCCGAGTTAAAACAATAGATTTACTTAGAGGTCCAGACCCGAAATACACTTCATTCATGCTTTAGAATATTTTCATATTCATAATTTTTGAAAGAAACCAAAAGATGGGAAAATATAGTTTTTGTTTAATATATATTTCTTTCATCCGTTTAGAGTCTCAGATCATCGTCATGTTGAACATCCGTTCGCTGGCCATCGCCTTAATATTTATTATTCATCATAAATAGTTAGTAAGAGATGTGTGGTAGATGACAGTTGAGACGTCTAACAAACAAATTTGATATGGAACATACTTGAGTGAAAGATTTGCTCAATGAAACCTACCCTATCATACTTAAAGGCAAAAGTCTTGAACTGGAAGGATGAAAGAAAGGGCTAGCAGATCGAATTATAAGTGTATGGACTTGACTAGTGAAGCACAAAACCATTCATCTTTTCATAGTGTGTTACCCTAGAGTAAGATTGAGCGATCCAAGTAGCAACTTGAGTCCCAAGGTAACTTGATTACTTCACTTTTCAATGAAGTGCATCAATAAATGTGGACATATTCTTACTCGATCATTTGCTCTCGCTAGACCATCCTATAATACGATACTAGTTTGACAGAGGTCCGTCTCTTGTGTGCAATGGTTGGACATGAGTGGAGCTTGCTCAGTAGAAAGGAGAGTAACCTTTTTACATATTGAAGGTCAAGCGTAGAAATATCAGGGGTTAAATTTTTTTTTTTTT